TACTTAAAGACACAACCACATAATGTCATTCATCAGCTATTTCAAAAAATCCTCCAATAACATTACACCTTTATAACATCTTTTAAGTTGTTTATTTTATTTTTTTAACATTAACAACAAACAAACAAACATTTTAAGTAAAAGTCAATTAATAAAGTTTCTAACCCTTTTTATATCCTACTTTAGCCAATACCATAGCATATATATATATATTGTTAAACAATGTCCATTAACATTTCCTTGTTGTTATTATAATTGGCTAAAAATCATTTACTATTTATGCCCCATCTCCTCTCATCAGAGCCCTCCCCCCAAAAAACCTTAAAACCTTTATAACAAGATCTAAATGAAAATTTGTTAATAAAATTTATAGGTCTTTTTCCCAAGTCACAATTTACAATTTATAACCAAATTTCTTTTACTAAATTGCCAATGATGTTTAAAGGTAAAGGTTCCCCTGCACATGCGTGCTAGTCGTTCCCGACTCTAGGGGACGGTGCTCATCTCTGTTTCAAAGCCGAAGAGCCAGCATTGTCAGAAGATGTCTCTGTTGTCATGTGGCCAGCATGACTAAACATCAAAGGCGCATAGAACGCTGCTACCTTCCCACCAAAGGTGGTCCCTATTTTTCTACTTCCATTTTTAGATCCTTTCGAACTGCTAGATTGACAGAAGCTGGGAGAAGTAATGGGAGCTCACTCTGCTACGCAGCGCTAGGGATTTGAACTGCCGAACTGCCAACCATTCTGATTGACAAACTCAACGTCTTAGCCAATGAGCCACCGCTTCCCTTTGGTGTCCAAAACTCCCTCTTTAATTCCAGTATGGGTTCTGTGGAACAACATCCTATGCGTTCACTCTTAATCTTATTCTCAGCAAATTGAGGATAAATATTTAATGTTTTTACGTTTTAATTGCAGGCTGCTCAGAATTGCTCTGTGACTGAGATGGGCATTCTAAATTTGATATACAAACAAACAAATTTTTTAAAAAACCTGGTTTATTTGGGTACCATCACATATGCTTGAATAAGTGAAGAACTAATGAGACCCACACCATGGGGAGAACAGGTTAATTCTATATTTCATCCAGTGGTGGGTTGCCAATTTTTTTTACTACTGGTTCAGGCGCGCTCACGTGCTGCTTTAGTGCATGCGCAGAAGCGTCTGGGTGGGTGGGCAGAGCCTCCCACCGCCGATACTACTGGTTCACCCAATCCGGGCCAAATCAGGAGTAACCCACCTGTAATTTCATTCCCATAATTCAGAATTTTCCATAACTCTCCAGGATTTTTAGGATAGTGGATTTTTAAAGTGTCCGCTTAAAATGGTAAAAATGGTAGTAAAATTGGGTTTGGTCATGTGTTGTCTTGCTTAATGACTTACATAATTTAACAACTGAAATTCAGGTTCAATTATCGTCATAACCTGAGGGCCAGCTGTATGTCAAGGAAGGAAGGAAGGAAGGAAGGAAGGAAGGAAGGAAGGAAGGAAGGAAGGAAGGCTTACAAAGGAGTTACTAGGGCATGTCTGAACCATGGGATGTAAGATTTGTGGATGAAGCCAGACAGATGTTTGCTTAAAGAGTTTTAATTTGAGAAGATAAGCATTCCTTGACCTTTCAACTATTCCTCCATATCTGTTGTTGATCGACTACATCTTTGTTATAACCGATAAGGCATCGTAGATAGAATATATTGGATAGAGTTTCTGGGAAATAATGGAGTAGGTAGAATGTAAGTAAAATATAAGCAAATAAATTGAGGAAGATCTTATTTGTGGCTGGGGAAACAAAATTGCTTGCCCAGCACAATAAGCTGCAAAACAAATCTCTGAGAGATGCACAAAGCTCTTTTTTCCTCTCCATGTTAACGGAATAGAACCTGCAGTGTCTATTGGCATTTAAAATAAAACAGGAGGGAATTTTTGCCTTCAATAATTCCAAGAGCACTATGGGTTGGCCTCTGCCAGAAATGTTTTTTTTTTAGGATTGCACAGATACTTGTGCCAACGCAGCAGAAGTCTATTTATGTATGGGGCTTTTATTCAAAGTGATATAAGTCCAATAAACTTAAACCTAAACCTAAAGGTAAAGGTTCCCCACGCACATGTGTGCTAGTTGTTCCCGACTCTAGGGGGGCGGTGCTCCATTTCAAAGCGGAAGAGCCAGTGCTGTCCGAAGACGTCTCTGTGGTCATGTGGCCGGCATGACTAAATGCCGAAGGTGCATGGAACGCTGTTACCTTCCCACCAAAAGTGGTTCCTATTTTTCTATTTGCATTTTTAGAAGTTTTCGAACTGCTAGATTGGCAGAAGCTGAGACAAGTAACGGGAGCTCCCTCCGTTATGTAGTGCTAGGTATTTGAACTGCCGACCTTTCTCATCGACATGCTCAGTGTCTTAGCCACTGAGCCACCGTGTCTGCTACTTTACAGGGATTTAAATAGATGGAAAATGTCTGTACAGTAGTTGCAGCATGGAACCTCCACGAACAGAGCAGTCTAAATATAAGAGACTCAGTGTAAAAGAGGGGAGATATTGTTGTTACTCTAGTTCTATGTTTTGCCTGCTGTTACAACTGGGGTGTTTTAATCTTATTTAACAAGACAGTCCTTTTTACATTTTACCATCCAGATCAACAAATCGGCAAATAATACAAACTGTTACTGTGATTTTAAAGTATCCGTACACTGCTTTTGCCTGAGGCTTCCTTCACTGCAACAATTAACTTTTTTTTCAATGTATTTTCGGTATATAGAATGTGTGAAATATTTTTCTTTAGGGGGGCAAAATCCAAACACCCACCAAGACACAATCTACCTGTTCTGTTTACTTGCAGCCATCACTGGCTGGTTTCCTGCCACAATTTCCTGCTTAAGAATGTCACAAATGGCTGTTTTGACTTTGAAAAGAAGAGAAAAAAAAATACTTTGGGTTTTAGGACCGGATGGTGATGAGATAAGAGTGTGTAGGTCCTAACAAGCCGGTTATGCTTAAACCAGGTTCTTTAAAGTCTTTTGGTGGTTTAGGAGTTTGAGTCTGTCCACCATTTTCTCACTGAATAGTAAGACAATAAATAACAACAACATCTTCTTCTTCCTTCTCCTCCTCCTCTTCTTCCTCCTTCTCCTCTTCCTCTCCCTCTCCTCCTCCTTTTTCATCTTCTTCACCTCCTCCTCCTTTTCTTTTTCTTTTTCTTTTTCTTTTTCTTCTTCTTCTTCTTCTTCTTCTTCTTCTTCTTCTTCTTCTTCTTCTTCCTCCTCCTCCTCCTCCTCCTCCTCCTCCTCCTCCCTTCTCCCGCTCACCTCTTCCTCCTCTTCCCCCTCTTCCTCCTCCAGTTTTGTCCATTGGAACTCATCAAACAGAAGTATGAGGATATAGAAATAACTCTAACCTTACATTTTTACTCCATCCTTCCCAGAATTCTTAACCCTCAAAACTCCCATATGCATCTATCATTCAGCCTTCAAGGATCTGCAGGGATGGCAGCTTTCTGAGATATGGTGTTTGTTTGTTTGTTTTTTTTAAAAAGGTAAATAATCCAAGAATATAGATAAGAGCATACTTATTTTGCTTTCTACCAGCTAATCTGTTTCTGAAGATTGTTAGTTAATTAGGTCATTTTCTGGGAACTTCACAATTGTATCATTTTTGTCCAAAGGAAACTAAGGAGAAGTGTCTTGCCAGGTATATATTTTCTTCTTTTTGTTAATCGTGATATTCACCTTTTTCTTTTAGACATCTTTAAACTACAGCACATTGTGGTGGAAGCAGCAACGCTCTCCAGATGCCCAATCCAGCTGCCCACCTGCCTTTCTACTTTGGCAGCATCTCCCGGGCGGATGCTGAGGACTACCTGAAACTGGCAGGGATGTCGGATGGGCTGTTCTTGCTGCGGCAATGCCTTCGCAATCTTGGCGGCTACGTCCTCTCTGTGGTGCACAAACTCCAGTTTTACCATTATCCCATCGAGCGTCAGATGAACGGGACTTTTGCCATCTCTGGAGGGAAAGCCCACTGTGGCCCCGAAGAACTCTGCGAATTTTATTCCAAGGATCCGGATGGGCTTTGCTGTCCTTTGCGGAAGCCTTGCAACCGTCCTGATAGCCTGGAACCCCAGCCGGGGATTTTTGACAACATTCGGGAGAATATGGTCCGCGAATATGTCCGGCAAACGTGGAACTTGGAGGTATGAGCATCATTTTGATTTTATTTTTCATTAGACAATGTATTTCTTTTTGTATGTTACACAATTTCCCTTAGAGGTGGTTTACAAAATCAAACACTTGTTGACAAAAGTAAATTCCCAGTAATGTTATATTTTATGTTATAGTATACACACATATACATACCCCCCCGACACACACACACATACACAGAGGGAGGGAGGGGGAGAGAGTGAGAGAGAGTGAGTGAGTGAGTGAGAGAGAGAGAGAGAGAGAGAGAGAGAGAGAGAGAGACAGACAGACAGACAGACAGACAGACAGACAGAGAGACACCAATACACCACAGGGGCTATGCACATTTTGAAAATGATTTTGAAAGTCATACGAGCTCAATTTCTCTCTGCTACCTATAAAAGCCTCTATGTCTTTTTTCAGGTTTCTGAATTTGAAAAAAACAACATGGCTGTTTTAATGAACAGCAGCTGTGTTTGAGTATGAAGATCTAGTAATCAATTAAAATAGTGAAATAACTCTTATGAGCAGGGGTGAAATTGAGCAGGTTCTGACAGGTTCCGGAGAACTGGTAGCGGAAATTTTGAGTAGTTCAGAGAACCAGCAAATACCACTCTGGCTGGCCCCAGAGTGGGGAGGGAATGGGGGTTTTGCAGTATCCTTCCCCTGCCACGCCCACAGAACCGGTAGTAAAAAAAAAGAATTTCACCATTGGTTATGAGCCATTTCAGGTAGTCAAAAAAATTAGGATGCTTCCTTCCAGTAAATCCTTCCAGAGGGGCAACATTTGCCAAGCCCAGCTGCAATGGTACAGGTAGTCCTTCACTTATGACTATTTATTCAGCAACTCTTCAAAATTATGACAGTGCTGAAAGAAGTGACTTATGACTGCCCTTACGACTGTCAAAATATCCCCGTGGTAACATGAATACAATCCATGTACTTGGAGGCGGGTTGAGGGGTGGGGCCAGGGGTGGGTTCCTGCCACTTCTAACCCCTTCCATAGAAGAGGTTCCACAAATCTACCATGCCGTTTAGAACCGGTTTCAGCTCCCTACCCCCGCCCGTCCGCACCACGCTTACCCTGCCTGCAGCTCACTGATTGGCTAGCTCACCAATTGCCCTGCCCGCCTCTAAGAGTCCTATCTAAACCTTAAAGTCTTAAAGCTGTCAAGTTTGAACATCCCTAGGGTTTTTTTCTAAAGGGTTAGGGGTGCGAGGGTCTTGTAACTTGACAGCTTTAAGTCTTGCACACTTCAATGCCAGAGTTCCTGAGCCAACATGACTGGAGGAGGAATTCTGGGAGTTGAAGTCCACAAGTCTTAAAGCTATCAAGTTTGAACACCCCTGGGGTTTTTTTTCTAAAGGGTTAGGGGTGCAAGAGTCTTGTAACTTGACAGCTTTGTGTCCTTCAAAGCCCAGAGTTTCTGAACCAACATTTTGGTTGCTAAGCAAGAGCGTTGTTAAATGAGGTTCACCACATTTTACAAGTTGGCCATGCCCACCCAGTCACATGACTGCCAAGCCATTCCCACTTGGTCATATGGCTGGCAAGCCACTCCCACCCGGTCACATGGCTGGCAAGCCACTCCCACAAAGCAGGCCACACCTACAGAAGAGGTTCTAAAACATTTGGAAACCCACCACTGGGTGGAGCACAACGTAGAAAAATATTTCAGTACAAAACTAATTTACCCCAAACCCTAAATGTTGCATTTTAAATTCTACAATTTAATTCAGTTGAATGCAAAAGCGGAAAGGATATTCTAGGAACTATACATTCGTCCTCCAACTTTTTGAATTCAGATTGCTGAGAAAAAACACGAGATTGAAATTTATCAATTTATCCAAATATACTTTAGGCTGAAAAAAAGCAAAGTTTCCATTCAGTTGTTACTTATCTCCCATGTTTTAATAATTCCCAAAAATGCAAAAGGTAATTTCTCTTCCACTCTTCTTTATTTTCATAGGGAGAAAATCTTGAAGTAGCAATCATAAGCCAAGCACCCCAAGTGGAGAAGCTCCTGGCTACCACAGCTCATGAAAAAATGCCTTGGTACCATGGGCCCATCTCCCGGGAGCAAGCTGAGAGCCGGCTCTACTCAGGAGCACAGCCTGATGGGAAATTCCTGTAAGCATTTAAGGATGCAGGGGGAAAAAAATCCCCTTTAGTTCTTGGAGAAATATTTTTCTCTCCACTACCTACAGTTTCATATTCATATTTAAGATCCATATTTGCACAGTTTGTACACAGTAGCGACACGGTGGCACAGTGGCTAAGATGCTGAGCTTGTCAATCAGAAAGGTCGGCAGTTCAGTGGTTCGAATCCCTAGTGCTACATACCGGAGTGTGGTCCCGTTACTTGTCCCAGCTTCTGCCAACTTAGCAGTTCAAAAGCATATAAAAAAAATGCAAAAAATTATAAAAATGCAAGTAGAAAAATAGGAACCACCTTTGGCGGGAAGGTAACAGGGTTCTGTGCGCCTTCAGCATTTAGTCATGCCGGCCACATAACCACGGAGACGTCTTCGGACAGCACTGGCTCTTTGGCTTTGAAACGGAGATGAGCACTGTCCCCTAGAGTCGGGAACGACTAGCACATATGTGCGAGGGGAACCTTTACCTTTAGGTTTAGTTTTAGGTTTATTAGATTTATATGCCGCCCTTCTCCCAAAGGACTCAGGGTGGCATACAACATAAAAACACATATTACAAAAGTTAAAAGAAAGATTAAATAAAATATCCAAGGCAATTTAAAGACAATTAACCAGTGGAACAGCTTGCCTTCAGAAATAGCAGGCACTCCATCACTGTAGGTTTTTAAGAAGAGACTGGACAGTCACTTGTCTGAGATGGTGTATGATCTCTTGCTTGAGCAGGGGGCTGGACTAGAAGACCTCCAAGGTCCTTTCCAGCTCTATTCTATCCTATAATTTTACATTTTGGGAGTCTTGGCTATAGACAGTCCTTGACTTGAAGCCATTCTATTTATTGACCGCTCAGAATTACAACGGTGCTGAAAAAGTAGCTTATGACTGGTCCTCACACTTGCAACTGTCTCAGAACCCCCCAAAGTCACGTGATCAAAATTTGGGTGCTTGGCAACTATGGTATATATTTGCAATGGTTTCAGCATCCTGCGATCATGTGATCAGCATTTGCAACCTTCCCAGCCAGCTTCTGACAAGCGAAGTCAATGTGGGAAGGTGGATTCGTTGAACAACCACATGATTCATTTAACAACCATGCTGATTTGTTTAACATTCTGGGGTCATGGGATCACTTTTTGCCACCTTCTGACAAGGAATGTCAATGGGGAAGGCAGATTCACGTAACAACTATGATGCTAACTTAATTGCAGTGATTCACTTAACAACAGTGGCCAGAACACTTATAAAATGGCAACATTCACTTAACAAGTGCCTTGCTTAACACTAGATGTTTTGGGCTCAATTCTGGTGGTACGTTTACTTTACATGTACCAAACTACATGTAAAGTAGTATACGAAATCTCAGGGCAGTACAGCTCAACCAAAGCTTGCACTCTTTAGACCAAATTCAACCATGGATAATTATCTTATATATATATATATATATATATATATATATATATATATATATATATATATATATATATATATATATATATATATATATATATATCTGTGTATGTGTATGTGTGTATGTGTGTTTTCCAGAATAACTCTGGAATGTCTCGAGCAATTTCAAACGAACTTGATACACAGATGACTTACTCTCTGGAAAAAAATACTGTAGGGAGTAAGACACCCTCAAACCTCTCAGTGTGTGTTCTGTTACGATACAGCCTGTTGTGCCTTAAAATGACTTCTACTGTACAGTGCAATGGAGTTGCCATGGTAACGGCTTCACAGTACTCCACAAGGGGGCTCCCTCTGGAAAGGTGGAAAAGCCAACATTAGAAATTACAATTTGTCCGGACATTTTCCCCCTATAAATAAATACCTAGGCAACGCTAGGTCAGCACTAGTAGGTGAAAACCACAGCAAAAGGCTTAAGTCAGTCATGTTTACACATTGCGAATTGGATGTTAATGAATAATAGATACCCATTAATTCTGATTCATGGGTTGCCTCATTGAATAGATCATTCTATTCTGTTCCATCAGTGATTAGACTCACCAAGGATTTATTTTGTCTTTGTTATAAATGATTGATTTTATGTTTAATGTACACAAAACCCAAATAGTATTTCTGTATAAACATTCATTAAAATCGGTGTAACTGCAGTCATTAAAATACTTTGGTTTGCAGGATATATTTGAATCAGTTGAGAAATGCCAAAATAATCTCTTAAAATTAGAACGTATTTCATAATCGTTCCTTAGCAATTAAAATCATTCCAATTAAAGATTTCAGTTGTTTAAAAGAAACTGAACTGAACTTTCTACTACAGAAAAACATGATGTTCCAGGATTTTGGAATATACTATCAGGCAATATCCAAGCCAGCTTTGTCATTAGCTTTTTCAAAATACAAGTTACCAGGATTTGTAATGAAAATATGTGCCTCTGTTTTTATATATACAATTACTATTTATACTATATTTATTTACACCACCAGGGAGTTGGTTTTCTAAAAATGGTCACGTCTTTCTAAAAACTGCTTTAGCAGCAGTTTCGCAATAGTTTTTCTAGCGATTCCAATAAATCTCATTCTGTCAACAGTCCGAAATATCTTGAGAGCATCAAGTTCCAAGGCATTTTGACAAAGTCAAACAACAGGCCTTGAGGCATTTCATGGGAAATTAAATTTGAACTGAGAAATCACCATATCTAAAGTGGACTTGTTTATCTTTTTTTGATGGAGAATCTCTCAGTGCTTCCTAAGGAAGGGAGTGAAATTGATTACGTTTGCATTTAAATGCAAATGTATCTAGCCCAGTGGTGGGTTCCTACAGTTTGGCCCGGTTCAGCCAAACCGATAGTGGCAGCGACCCAGGCCGGCCACGCCCATAAACAGGTTCTCCAGGTGGTGCCTATGGCGCCGCCATCTTGTTTTTTTGCTTCTGTAAATGGACAGAACACGAGCCGGACCCCACTCCTGATCTAGCCTTATATTTTCAAAGTGAAATATTCATTTTTTGCCCTCCATTATAGCAATAGCAATAGTACTTAGACTTATATACCCCTTTACAGTGCTTTACAGCTATATCTTATTGGTTTACAGAGTGAGTGTATTGCGCCCAACAATTTTGTGTCCTCATTTTACCCATCTTGGAAGGATGGAAGGCTGAGTCAACCTTCAGCCTGGTGAGATTTGAACTGCCAAATTGCAGGCAGCTGTCAAGCAGCAGAAGTAATCTGCAATACTGCACTGTAACCATTGTGCCACCACAGCTCTTTGTGTTAAAATCTTATCTCCTGCAGCCTGACATTAAAATTTTATGTCTGAAATGTTTTTGCCTGCCGCAGACATAATTGATTGGTAGAATATTGTAATCTTGTTATGCATGGATATATAATGTGGTGGCTTGGCTCAGTGTCTAAGCTTGTCGATCAGAAAGGTGGGCGGTTTGGCAGTTCGAATCCCTAGAGCCCCATAACGAAGTGAGCTTCCGTTACTTGTCCCAGCTTCTGCCAACCTAGCAGTTTGAAAGCATGTAAAAATAGTGGGAAGGTAACAGCGGTTCATGTGCTTTGGCGTTTAGTCAGGCCGGCCACATGACCACGGAGACATCTTTGGACAGCGCTGGCTTCGAAACAGAGATGAGCACTGCCCCCTAGAGTCAGGAATGACTAGCACATATGTGCGAAGGAAACCTTTACCTTTGGTAAAATTTCCTTGGTGCTCTCAGAACTTGGTTGTTTCCTTGCAACAGATGTTTCATTACTAAACTAGGAAATATTAGTGCTGTTGATGTTTATGACATTACCTAGTTTAACACTAAAAGAGTTGAAAAAAATGAAGTACAGGTACATTGACTTACAATAGTCCATTTAGCGACTTCTCCGTTTCCTCCCAGGTTGAGACAAAAGAAAGAACAAGGAAGCTACGCCCTCTCCCTTGTATACGGAAAGACTGTTTATCACTATCGAATAGGACAAGGAAAATCAGGGAAATACTCTGTGGAAGAAGGAACCAAATTTGATACGCTGTGGCAGGTGAGGTTGCAGTGAAGACTGAGTGGTCTGCTTACTTATATCCCACCTTTATTATGTTTATAAGTAACTCAAGGCAGTGAACATACCTTCCTCCTCCTATTTTCCCCTCTGACAATAATCCTATGAGTGGAATTGGGCTGAGAGAGAAAGACGGGTCCAAAGTCACTCAGCTGGCTTTCATGGTTAAGGTAGAACTAGAACTCACGGTCTAGTATATATGGGGGAGAGCAGAGGTGGGTTCCTACCAGTTCGCACCAGTTCGGTAGAACCGGTTCGTCAAATCTACCGAACCGGTTAGAAGAGGTTCTGCCAGTGGACTCAGAAAGCAGGCCACACCTACAGAAGATGTTCCAAAAAATTTTGAAACCCATCATTCACACACAGACACACAGACACAGACACAGACACACACACACACACACACACACACACACACAGACTCACACAGAGAGAGAAAGAGAAAGAGAAAGAGAAAGAAAGGAAAAAAAATAAAGAAAAAAATAAAGAAAAAGTGAGAGAGAGATGAAAGAAAAAAAGGAAAAGGGACAGAGAGACAAAAGGAAGGAGAGAGAGAGAGAGAGAGAGAGAGAGAGAGAGAGAGAGAACACATAGCCGGCAAGCCACTCCCAGCAGATCACATGGCCGGCAAGCCACTCCCACAAAGGAGGCCACACCCACAGAGTAGGTTTGAAAAATTTTTGAAACCCACCACTGGGGGAGAGGTATATGCATAATGGTTAACTTTGGAGAGCTGACTGCAATGAAATTTCATTTTAATATATGCTGCTTAGTGTATATTTAAATCGACAATAAAGTTTTTTCCTCTCCTCTCCTCTTCTTTTCCCTTCCCTTCCTTTCCCTTCTCATCCCATCCCTTCTCTCTCCTCTTGATGTTCTTCTTCAAAATTCTTTTACCAGCTGGTTGAGTATCTCAAACTCAAACCTGACGGCCTTATCTATTATCTGAAGGAAAGCACCCCAAATCCTGACATGCAATCAGGTAAGATTTTAACTTCTCTCCTATCCCTGAGAAAAGGATTGGCACTTCTGGTTATTTCTTTCCCTGGGTATATGTTTTAGTTATCATGAAATCTTTATTTTTAAAAAAAGATCTGCAGAAAAGGATGGTCTCAGGGCTTTTCTAAGCTAACACCCTCCAGATGTTATAGGTTTCAACTTTCAACTTTCCTACCCTAGCATAGTACAAGGGAAAAAGTCATATTGCCTAAGGGAATCTAGGAACTGATTGTTTACACTTCTGGAGGACTCCAATCAGGGGTGGGTTCCTGCCAGTTCTAACCTCTTCTATAGAAGAGGATCTACAAATCTACAGTGCCGTTTAGAACCGGTTCCAGCTCCCTCCCCCCAACTGTCCGCACATCATCAAGATGAAGAGCGAGAGGAGGAATTCTGGGAGTTGAAGTCCACAAGTCTTAAAGCTGTCAAGTTTGAACACCCCTGGTTTTTTTTAAAGGGTTAGGGGTGCAAGGGTCTTGTAACTTGACAGCTTTAAGACTTGCGTGCTTCAAATGCAAGTTTCTGAGCCAACATTTTGGTTGCTAAGCAAGAGCGTTATTAAGTGAGTTTCACCACATTTTACAAGTTGGCCACTCCACCCGGTTACATGGCTTGCAAGCCACTCCCACCCAGTCACATGGCTAGCAAGCCACTCCCACAAAGCAGGCCACCTACAGAAGAGATTCTAAAAAAATTTGAAACCCACCACTGACTCCAATATACTGATGGATTTGGCATTTATTAGAGCAGGGGTCGCCAACCTTTCAGACCTCAGGGACCACTAAATTCATAATTTTAAATCCCGCGGACCACTAATATGAATTTTTTAAGAAGATAAATAGTATTTAGTGCAATATAAAAAATGCAAATAATTTTGCTGCGGACCACCAAAATTTTCTCACGGACCACTGGTTGGTGACCACTGAATTAGAGGGGTTTGGGATTTATTTGGGCAATTAAGTTGGTTGATCAGACCATAAGAATTGACTGGCATTAAGTGGTCCAGAATGCCAGTGGATCAGGAGATATTCTGCTCAAAATTGCATTATGGCAGTCTTCAAAATTAAAGTGTTGTGGCTGACTTGCTACACACTCCGTTTGCAACCAACAACAGAAAGGGGGGGGGGGAGGTTTGGAATATAAGGGATGCTTGGGAGGGAATTGTGGAATGCAATAGAACAGAATAGAATAGAATAACAGAGTTTGAAGGGACCTTGGAGGTCTTCTAGTCCAACCTTCTGCTTAGGCAGGAAACCCTACACCACTTCCAAGATATCCAACTGTCACCTGGCAATGTCCTGGTACCTGGTCAAATAATGGGGAGGTTCAGATTCTTTCCCAAAACAAATTGATTGTAATTGATTGGTGGACAATGAAGAGTGAGTGGCCCAGGGTAGAAAAGGAGATTTTACTTATGTTGCTTTGTGCACGAAAACTTCAGAACCGGCTTTGCTTCTTCTCTGTCTATAGGGGATTATCAGCAAAGTTATATTCTTGGTAAAATAATGTCCCAGGAGTGTCTTTTGCTGCATATGCATATTTTTATCCCCATTTTTCAGGGCATTCAATTTTACAGATGTTTATATACACGACAGCAGGCAGTTATACAGGTGGTTCTTGGCTTACAGCCATTTGTTTAGTGACCGTTTGAAATTGGAATGGCACTGAAAAAAGTGACTTACAACAGTATGATGGTTGCAGCGTCTCAGGGTGATCACCGTTTATGTCTAACAAGCGAAATCAGTGGGGAAACAAATTCACTTAACAACCGTGTCATTAACTTAACAACTGCAGTGATTCACTTAATAACTGTGGAAAGGAAAGTCATACATTGGGGCAAAACTCACTTAACCATTCTCTTGCTTAGCAATGGAAATTTTGGGCTCAGCTGTGGTTGAGGTCTACCTGTATGCCTTATCGGTCAGCCCATGTTATGCCTCTGCTTTGCAAACTGCACTGGTTGCCAATATCTTCCCAATTCAGTTCAATGGGGTAATTGTAACTCTTCATGGCATGCGACCTACGTTATTTCTGGGATTGCCTCTCTGAATTATATCTACCCATCCAGTGGTTAACAACCGGTTTGTGATGGCCAACCTGATCCTGGGCGAACCGGTTCTTAAATTACACACACACACACACACACACACACACACACACACACACACACACACACA